GCCTCAACAAAGACACCCCAAGTGAGAGCTTATGCCTGGTATGAATATGTGGAGGTGATTGATCGCTGATCCCGACATGTTGCAGGTTTGGAGCAGGGCTACCATCATGTTTACGGGTTGTACAATCATCGCTCATGAAGTGCGCCTGTTCTTTTAAACCTTTGTACCAATCTATAGGAATTCTGACAAGCACCCATCACTGCCGGAATCTGTTCGTTGGACGTATTTTCAAAGGTTTGATTGCTTGGTTTAGGAGCCAAGTTTAGGGAGTCACTTCAGAAGGCCCCGATCAACTCCTGCACAAGGCGCCCATGAGACTTCTCTTTCAATACAATGAGCACTGTGGTCTCGGCCACGGGACAGATTCACAACTCACTCTCCTGCTTGGCACAGCAAAAACTCTAGAATTCGCGGGTTGTCGGGGTCTCCTTGTATTGGCGCATGGCGGTACGCACTCTCGCGCATCCTGATTGCCGCGCTGAACTCTTCGAACGGACCGCCGCAGAGTGCAGACTGCGGCCTGACCCGCGCCAGTGATTCGCCAGGGGCAGAGGCGGAATCACTGGCAAGGCTTCAACACGCTCTGCAAACTTGTTGCTCAGAGGACTGCAATGTTGCTATTTGTTGTTGTTCAGAGGGCGCTGACCTCATCTTACCCGAACAGGGTGGTTTGGTGCTTGGGGTTCAGTTCCTCACAGCAATCCAAAAAGCAGGTCGTCTGTTGAACAATGTCATGGCCTTCCGTGTTTTTTAGGTGTCCTAAGCTTACCCCAAAGAAGGGGGCTGCAAAAAGACCGCCTTTTGGTGGTGCTCCCTTTTGGTTTCAAGAGGTCTCAGCAACTCGAAGAGGCACACCAGCTCTCCCATGGGAAAATCCCCCCAAACCGTGGTGCCAGAGAATGATCCAAATCCAAATTCAAGCCAATCCAAATTCAACAAACAGAGGGTGTGTCTTTTTTTGAGCGTAGCCTTTTTATGGTTGTTTTCCTCGGGTTCCCCAAACGGACACCACCCGCTTGCTTGGAGCTGCTCGCTTGCGATCCAAGCCACCCAAGGTGAAAGCCCGGAGTTCCGGGCCTCGTCCCGGAGAATTGGCGCAACTCGAAGCCCCGAGGGGCTGCGCTGTGAGCGTTGCGTTTGAGAGAAAGAGCCTGGGTTGATTAATATGGGGTCAGCATTACCTTTGGGTTTCCCTTCAAACACCTACCCGAAAAGGGTGCCCTTAGAAAGAGACACACCATGGGTGTGCACGGCTGTTCTTTTGATCGCTCAGTTTGGTTAGACAAAGATGAAACCGGACTGGTTTGGATGGGCTTGCTCAAATGTTCCTTTTAAGCCATCTATTTTGTAGAACAGGACACCTTTGAAAGCAAGTTATGAGCAACTTTGTATTCCTTGGTGGTTTGGGTTGGCGGCTAGGAATTGGATTTGAAGCCAACCCAAACGCCTCCAAAGCCACCAGTCCAAAACACCTACAGAGGAGCTGAGTTTCACAAAGCGCGTTGGAGCTTTGGTGCCTTTTTTTTCTCCATGGGTTGAGACCTCCCGGTTAGTTTCAGGAAGAACCACATGTTCAGGGAGGTTGGTCGTACCCTGTCATCGCAACTCAGTTCAATCAGATCTTGAATGGAGAAGGAATTGCCATTAAGGAACCAGCAGGACCTAAAGCCGCCAAATTGGGGGTTGGGGCCTTTGTTTGTCATGTTTGCCCAAGCCACCCTCTCTGGCAGGGTGGGGGTTATTTTTGTGGAGAAAGTATGCCACCTTCGAAACACGAGAGATTTGGTTTGGACCAAGTTCCTCTCAAAAGCTTGTGGGGTTGATTACATATGGTGGATGGGCGCGATATAGCTGAACAAGTCATATCCAACCACAAAACCCTAGAAACCGTAGTAGCTTACAGTAGATTCAGGGGTTCCCCTGCTTCTTCTTGCAATATTTTTGGCAGCCGGTCCCGGGCTTCTGGAAAGCAAGGCTTATGGCTGGGGATTGGTTTGACAAATCCGTGAAAGGCAACCACTTCATCCGAACGGGTTTCCTACTCAGTTGGGGCACGCTTTTGCGGGCCCAGGGCAGCTTTGACCAATTCCATTGAACCGATTAGCACTCTTCGGTTGGTTTTTGGCTGGAGACAACTTCAGTTCCTTTCATAGATGCCGCTCGGTTTTGAGCCATATGTGTTTCCCCTCCAGCGGTCGGGGGCAGGGGCCCGATAATGATGCATGATACTTCGCAGGACACCTCGAAGCTAATTTGGATCCACCCAGTTCTTTTTCTTTTTGAAAAGTGAGGCTGGGAATTTCCTGAGTTTTTTCTTTGAACACCAAGGGACTTTCCTGATTAGGTTGGAGCTAGATTGCTAACTTCGGTGCGGTGTTGTGCTCTTCGCTTGCACCAATTCTCCCTCGGCACTTTCGGGCCATCTTTAAACTGGTCCGTTGCTCTGCCACGGGACACGCCGCAAAGGGCCGACCTACCCGCGTGCCGCGAGACCTTCGGT